TGTGAGTGAGAGAGAGAGAGAGTGTGTATTTGTGCTTTTGTGACCGTTTCTCGTTTTCTCTCTGTCTCTGTCTCCTACCCTCTCTGTTTGTGTGCTTGCGTGCGTGTAGTGGTGGCTTCACGCATGCCTGTTTAAAGAATACACTGGGAAGGGATGCGCTAGCTGAAATTAGCGAGTAGCTCCAAGAATCTCTAGTGAAGATAACTTAGTTCCACTTCTTTTTTTAAATTGGCAGGTACCTTGAAAGTAAGGACATTTCTTTGTAACACTTTAAAAAAAGTTCATATACAGTACTACTGTTGAAAAACTGATTGATCGTGATGTCGTTGAGTAGGAAGATTGCATTTTCAATCAAGCGTTTTGCAAGTGAAGAATTCAAAAGAAAAAAGGTGTGTTACAAACAGGAAATCAGGATAGTATCAATTTCAACAGCTTGTAGTCTTCATTTCTGTTTAACTGGAGGTTTATTGCTATTGTTAATCGAACAGGAAGTTAGATATAAGTAATCAACCAACAGTTGAACCGACAAGCAGTTGTGAGCCCAAAAGCTCTTAAAATTGATATCCCTACAGAATTCCAGTGTGTGATTACGCCCGCTCTTTTTTTTAAACTGAGCCCTTAAACGAACAAATCAAACAAACAAAAACAAAACAGATAAAAAAAAACACAAATAACAACACCAAACAGAAAACAAAAGCAAACAAACAAACAAATGACAACAACCACAACAACAATTACAATAACAAAAACAACAAAAGCAATAACAATAAGCAAAACAAGCCAAAAATCAAACAGAACGAAATACAGAATACTGTTATTTTATGTTTCAATTTCTCAAATACAATATTTTCCAGGGTTTTACGGTAGCAGCAACACAGACGGTCTGGTCATTGATGGTGTGTTGCAGTCGATTCAGGACATTATGCAGATCGCTGTCAAGTTCATGTTTGAAAAGGATGAGGGGAAGAAGGTAAGACCATATTTTAGAATTTGACTTGGGAAAAGAGTTTTGAAGTTCAAGATGATGTCGAATTAATAACGTAAGTTTTTTTGGTTATAGGGGCTGGAATTTAGTGTTGTTTTGCAGCTAAGGAGGACGAAGAGGGGGCAGAGGACGAGGCGATGTTGAAGAAGAAGAAGAAGAAGAAGAAAATGAACAAGAAGAAGAAGAAAATGAACGAGAAGAAGAAGGAGGAAGAGACGGAATATGAGGAGGAGGAGGAGGAGGAGTA